GTATGTTATCCCTTGATAACAACCGGTAAAAGCTGATAACACAGGCTCATCCGGGTAACTGAAGTCGGCACTATACTACCAGGAACAGTTTTTTCTTGGTGGAAGCTTTGCATTTGTTTAGCTAATAAAATATTAAAACTCGATTCAATATTATGTGTTCCATTATTTAATTATGTCATCCTGGTATCGCGGACTCGCTTTCTCGTTTCATACAAACGCAGCTGCTGCCATTTTGCTACAATTGTTTTGTATGCTGTAATGGATTATAAGATAACTAACAAACTGGTAAGATTTTAAAATTTTTTCGTCTTAAATCTTTTATCGCCATAATTATTTATGTGGTGAATTGTTGTGCAACTGCACCATATCCTTTAAATGTCCATCTAGTTTGAACTTGCTGCTTGCTCGCAACTGCTGTGTTCATGGAAGCTTTGCGTTCAAATATTTAAACTCAAATCAATATTTCATGTCTACTTACTTATGTGGCAAGTAGCCGTGTAATAAGCAGGATAATGTACATCCAGCTGGTTGTTATCGCTGAATAACCCCCTTCAGGGTGATACAAGTCCTGATCACCCTGTCAGGGGTTATTCTGCAATAACAACCGGCTGGATGTACATTATCCCTTATGTAAAACAGTAGGGTGAAATACCTAGTATATTGGATCCATGCAGTTGGTCTTAAAGGGACAGCAGCCTTATTTACCTGCTGCTGTCTGTAATTACTAATGTTAATCATGTTTGATTGATACAGTGAAGACTATGCAGTGTTTTATTTATACACTTTCTGTAAAAAAAATTACAATTTCTGTAATATTTCTTACTACGTTAAATAAACCTAGCCTACTGTAGCTGAATAAATTAAAAGTTTCATTCAAATTGTAACAAATTTAAACAAAAAAAAATCATATTTATTTGTTCTGTTGTGCTTGTAATTTGCATCTTTTTCTTAATTTTAATAACAAAAATAAAATAAAAACAGCTATAACGAGGTACATATCGTTATCGTGAAATAAAATTTCTCATTCTGTGAAATTAGATTTTGGTCATATCGCCCACCTCTAGGCATATCCCACTAAATGGAAGCAAGCTGATTATAGTCAGCCTTCTCTACTTATTTATCTTATTATTGAATACTTATTTGAGTTAAGTGCTTATTGTAAATATGCATTTATTAGATTATTCTATTTAGTGCATTTGTATTTTGCTGTTTTTGTAGTTGTACAATAAAAGCGTATCAACCAGGTCCGGTTCCAGAAATAAATCACTGAAGGTGCTTCTGAAATTAGTGAGGTTGCCCTAGGTTTGTCCCATCCATTGCTATAGTTATCATTATGTCAATCACTGCTATGTCGAGAGTGAATCCTGCATAAATATGCTGATGTCATTCCCGAAACTTTGCAACGTGTGTGTCGCCGAAAAACAAATGTTTTGCATTTTGAATGGATTATAGCCTGGAAAGCTCTCAAAGGGCACTCCCTTTATAATCACTAAAAAGCTGTCACTCTTTGTTCATTGCGATCTCACAAAGTTGTGTTATGACCAATGAATCTCTAAACTGCTCAGTCAATCTATTATTTACATTGTGTATACACTCTGTATGTTATAATAAGAGGATTCGACTGTATAACTAAATTGTAATACAATTTTTCATGTGGTAACATCTAATTTATTTGATTTTATTCAACCCAAAAATATAAACCTAGTCAACCTACATTAGTTTACAGTGATACAATGAAATTTAAGGGATAGATCAGGTGGAAATAGCTCCCTAAGATAACATTTGCAGGTTTGCACTTCTTAATAGTGTACCAAAGATTCTACAATGAAAATATATTTTTTTGTTTATTTATTTTTCTCATCATGCTCATTTTGCGGCCATCCAGTGACTCCCCCCTCTC